AAGGACCAGGCTGTATGTTTCTGTAACTGTAGAAAAACAATTAGGAGCCTCTGCTAAATGTTTCATGTGAATGCTGTTCACCAACCAGTCACCAGCAGTCAGAGATCCTGACTTTATTTAAAATCTGAAACCATCTAATGCTCCACGAGAGCACAAATATGATCTGTGATTTTAAACAAAATGGATACAACTCCATCAATTCTCAAGAAGATTATCATAGACTAAAATTCTGTAGTAAAAGATGATGTGCGTATCTTTGAAGAATGGTCGGCCATTATAGTTTCTATTTTTAGCCTCTCTGCTGGAGAGTTTATTTTCTTTCTCTGTTCTTTGTGCTAATTAAGAGTGAGAATGAAAGATAAACAGGAGATCCGGAGGAAAGATGAAGAATTAATTAGGATTGTTGGAGGGTATAATTACGCATTCACACCCGCTCTGCAGAGGACGGCCTGTCACTTTGCTCTACAATCAATACAAATCAAAGAGGCGTGTGCGTGAACACAAGCTCACCTCACATTTGACTACAGAGACAATTTCATAAAGCTTTATGTGTATCTGAAGCCTCCTTCTCCTCCTGCCTTCATGTGTTTAAAAATATAAGATCACCATCATCACAAACCTTAAGCTTGGATTATACTTCAGTAAGATGTGAGACAGCGGGTTGGGGATTGCGTCATTTTGAACGTCTTTTTTCTGAGCGAGAATAAACGGGCTGAAGACACGGCGAACCACAAATGATCATAGATCCTTCCTCTGCTCTCCCACAGCTCATCATATATAAACAACAATAATGATGCTGGATATTGTGGTTTTTTTATCTCTCAATGGTCATTGTTTTGTTGGGTAAGGAAGAGTCTATTGTTAACTGTGGTGATGGAAAGAAGACTTGAAAATCTGAATATTAGCTGCCTGCTCACATTCAATAGGATCAAATCAGCTGCTTTTCAAGCTCTTTTAACAACTGGCTTCAGACAAAAAGAATCCTTTTAAAGGGATCCTCGATTAGTTGTAACATTAGACTTTATGTGATAAACATTTATTTTAACTGTAAAATAAAGATTGTAAAAATACTGTAGGATGTTTAGTTTTGTACATTTTTAAAAATATATTTTAACATGGACGGAGCTATTTTATTTACACGCAAAGCATGCTGGGTAAATGATGACATCAACTAGGTCATCGGTGCGAGGCTGCTAGCGAGCTATATCCACCCTGAAGGTTAATCTTGGACAATATCTGATGATCGACTCTTTTAAATGAAACCAGAGAGCGTTGACAGAGAGGAGAAGGTAGAAATGACTCAGCCTGGAACTGAAAATATGGATGGAGGACAACAGAGCTGCTTCATGGAAGAAGAACCTCAGCTTAGCCTGTTAGCCTTTGTGCTAGCACTGACACTATATTTATTGCCTTATATGTATTAGCTCGGTGCTAGTGCGACAAACAAGCTAAATTGAGGTCCTCCATAATAATAACAGCAGAAATGTCATCTGTTTAATCACTCCGATCCTTAGAAAAAGTAAATTCTGGTCCGATGATAAAGTTCATGTGTATCCTGAGATGCAATTTTCCAAAACCAATATTATATAATGTTGCTTCTTTTTTTTATTATCATTGCAACAAAATAGGTTGCAATGCTCCAAGTTATAAACGGCAGAGAGAAGCTGCTGTGATGATGTTCTGAAATGAAAGAGTTGTTTTTGTTCTATCAGCCTTCCAGACCACTCAGGTCTTCTGGTTCAAGTCTACTGAACCAGAGTCCAAACCAAACGTGGAGAGACAGCATTCAGAACTTCTGTTTGAAATACGAATTGAAAAATCATTCATTTCAGTCTGTGGTCCAACTTTTCTTTTCTTCCATATACTTCTTGATGTTTTTATCATGTAAACACGTTGAATTGTCTTGTCTTTGTCTTGTCTAAAATGTGCTAAACAAATAAACTTCCCTTACTTTAGCTTCATTCTAAGAGGATTGAAGACAAAAGAACAAGTCCTACAGTAGTGAGACACACAGTAGGTGAAAGAAGACAAAACGACTGATGTTTGGATGGATCAGAAGTATCACATTCATTCAACTCTCTAAAGTTTGTGTGATATTGACTGTCCAACATTCCAAAAGTCTCCTAAAACCATTCAACTCAAACTGTGATTGTGTTGAAGATATCAAACACCAGTTCTGACTAATAAAGTCCAACTTTCTGTGATCAGTTTAACCTTGACATGAGCTCTTTGGTGTGTTAGAGGCAGTGGCAGCTGGTGGATTTTTCTCCAGTGGGGGCTCCAACTCCAAAATAGACGTATCTCAAAAAGCAATCAAACTTGTACTAAGTTGTTTCAAGCCAGTGTATTTATTAAACAAATCAAATTAATAAAACAGTCATGTAGTTTTTATTTTTAGTACATAAATTTCGCTCTTCTGTTACTGAGAAGCAAATATCTTCATGACTCTGGTTAAAGTCAGGGTTGTTTTAACCAGATTCTTCTCTATAGAGCATGGTCAGTGCAGTGAGATGTGACGTTGTACCTGAGGAAAGTCTGGATTCTCTTCAGTGTTGAAACTCCTCTCAGATTCAGCTGTGGTCAGAGGAGATGTGATGAGAGTCTTCAGCAGAGTCACAGTCTCTGAAGGTGTCCTGCAGATTGTTCTCCATGAAGAGCTGGTACAGAGCCACCTCACCACTGCAGCTCCTGAACTAGATCAGACTTCTTGGTCCTGTTTAGCACTGGGTGAACCTCCATGGTCTTCAGAGCTGCTTCAGAGAACTGTCCTGCAGGAACCTGTCTGCCTGCAGCAGTGTAGCTCTGATCAGATGCATGTGAATGGCTCAAGATGGCGTCACAAACCTAAAACAATAAATGCACAAATTTAATTCAACACCAAGATGGCTGCAAGTGAGCTTTCTAATCTATATTTAATATATAGAGAACAATTAATGTTATTTTAATAGCAACAAGTTGTTGCATCTTTAAGGTAAACTATTATATGTTATTATACAGTATATTATATTATTTTAAGTTGTGTTCACCATTAAAATATAAAATATATATCTAATATAAAATGATTAATAAGCACTACAGAAGTATTTTAACTTTTCTCTTACCTGTTTTAATCCATGCTGTATCAGATCCTGATGCTTGAAAAACGTTGGTTACGTACTGTAACCCACTACCGGTTGTGTGAGGTCAGCTGTGGGGTGACCACATGCTGCTCCCCAGGCCACCCTATTATTTTGCATTGGGGACTTACTGTGCATGTCCAATATCTTACAATGACTTATCTATGGGACTCTGGAGCGGCGAACAGCTCGTGAACCGGAAGTGACTCAACACGAAAAAGCTCATGAGTAAAATGGAAGTTCACTCATCAATAACTCTGAATTATTTATTTTACTTATCAGAAAACATATATACAATATTTTTTGAAACACTTATGGCATTTTATTTTGTTATTTAATTTTTTTTGTACCAAAAATAGTGGTGGGGCAGCATCCTAGCACCCCCTATTGACCAGCCGCCAGTGGTTAGCGGTAAGGTTTGGTTTGTGTGCTTGCATTGTTGTCTATGTGGGATTGTTCTATCAAGATGTGCATGTTTGGTTGTTTGTCTGTTTTTAGTGTTGCTAGAAATGGAGAACAGAATAGAGTGCTTGTGCACTGTTAGGCTTAATTAAAAGGGACCTATTTACTTTTTAAAGCTTTTTTTTACTCAACTTTGGGTATGTACTTCTGAAAAAAACAGTCATGGGACCAAAAAATGCACCCAGGGGCATATTTACTGTAAGTAAATGTATTTTTTTTAATGTATATTAATGACAAGTTTTATACTTCCGTCATTTTGTGATGTCACAAGCCGTACGACAACCCACCGGAACCTGCGTTCAGCCCCTTACCTAGCAACCCCCAGGTGAGGCTCCACCTCCTCAATATGAAAAGCTGTCACGGTTATTGTGTAATGTGCAGCTCATTCCACAACAAGCCTCCAATAGGGCAATGGGTAGAGTGTTGGACCAAAGAGCAGGAGACCAGGCTTTGAGACCGACACAAACAGTTTAATTATTTATTTTTGTTCGTTATGAACACATTTTCTCATGTACCTCTATTGTTTTTAGCTTTAGCCTATTTGTTTGAGTTTCTGAGGTATTTTGACCGCTGCTGCTCCCTGCTCTGGTAACAGCATGCAGAGTGAGCGCAGAGCTCCAACAGAGGAGGGGGAGAAAAAAAAAGCTGCGACCACGACTCTGCCTCTGGGTCTGACTCTGGGTCTCATATGGTTGTACAACAGAGCTTCTGCTATTACTAGCCATGCTAACGTAAACGCTGGCTCTGGAGGACGGAGTTTGGAGGGCGTTACCAACAGAGCTCATTAACATAAACAGCTCTTCTGAACAGAAGTCAGAGCAGGCAGAACTAGAAAATGGGAAATTTTATTATCTGAGAATTATTTTGTGCATTAAATTGAATGAACATGGTCTGGATAGCCCACAGACATACCATAAACATTTCTCGGACCCATAATTGGTCTCCTTTAAACAGTAACTCCTGGTTGAAGTTCAGTGCCTGACAAGTTACACATTTTATTCTCTGTAAGGAAAATATGTCAGGCTGTGGAGAGGCTGATCTCTTCCAGTTTCTGTTGGCTTTGCTGCTTCTGATAGTTTGTTTCCTGCAGGGTGGAATAAGGGACAGAGATGTGGGACATTCTTTTTGTTTACTTTTTATAGTACGTGTGTGTGTGTGTGTGTGTGTGTGTGTGTGTGTGTGTGTGTGTGTGTGTGTGTG